TAAACGTCAATATAAAACAATTTTACTTCGTTTAGACGCGCGTATTTATCCCTGGCGATCGCATCAGGAGTGTTCAGTTCGAGCTGACTCGTCGCGCGGTATGTTGTTCGGGTGAAAATTTTTAATGATAAGATTTTTGGGAAGTTGGCGGACAGACTGATTAGGGCATCCGGCGATGTACAGGATTTATATTTCAGACAGACTGGTTGTGCCGACCAATGACTATAGAGAGAAGCAACACTTTGCTCCGGACCAATGAGAATAACTCGCGGACTTGGATCCCCTTCCAGGCCGCTATAACTGGTGTGGTTATTATTTTTATTGACATCGCAATGTGTATGTGTATTTATGTTCATGTGCGTGTTATATATTATCTAAGTCACCGACGGAGAGATCTATCTCGACATGTGCCCCTATGCTGGGGCCATGGAGTCACTCGTTCACGGATGAAAAGCTTCGCACACTATTGTGTGGGTTCACATGATCACATACATAGGTAGACTTCTGTCATTTTAATGTATATGCTATAACTCACAAATCTTGTAAGAGAATTAAAAGAAGTATAAATTTAATTCGTATATTTTAATTTCATTTGTGTTACAATGTCTGTTTATCGCTCTGGTCATTTTTTGGTTAGGTTCAATTTGCAAATAATCATATCAACTATGTTTTAACTTAGTTAGTTATATTAAAACTAAATTAGTTTTTCTAATTCTATCTTTATACTCGGTTTTAAATACTTTCATTTACTATTATTAGAATTATTACTGTATCCTTAAAATTCTCGAAACGAAGTATTTCTGCAAATGCTAAGCAATCATTAACATTTTGATGTTTAATTCTCAATTTTTATTTTAATTAGAGAACTTTAGCAAAATTATGTAAATTACCACATTAATTTTACTAACTAGCGAAGCATAACAACTTTATAAACTTATTTATGATACTAACATTAATACACGCATCAAAATAAAATTGTTTGTTTCCAATAATATTTTATCACGTTATATTTCATCACGCCTACTTTTAGTGATCGAAAATTACCTTCCTTGAATATAGCAAAATTTCATTGAACAATTTTTAGACAAAGTTTCATTAAAAATTGTCTAATATTTTACATTCGATTACAGTCGATTACAGTCGATTATTTACACGTATTGGAAAGTTTATACAACTTTTGTTAAGGAATAATTACAAATGCACCTAGTTTATAATTTATGTATCAATGTATTATCATTGAAATAAGGAAAAATTGTGGCTTAATATAATAGTATTTATTGTGATCGCTTACATCAGGCTGATATACATTATGAAAAAGTTTAAAAGTATATTTTGATAAATAAAAATGCAATATGTAATTAATTCATTTATATTTATTAACTTCCCGAAGGAGAAGTTTGTTTTCATCAGAAAATCATATTCGCTATTTTATGTTTTCTCGGCGTTTCAAGCCATTCTGAATCGAATGAGACCAAATTTGGAAAAAGTATGTGTGTGTGTGTGAATAGATTTTTGCCGTAAATCGACGTTTTCTCCAAAACGGCTGGACCGTTTTCAAAAATTTAAGAGCCATTCGATGTATCTCGATGAGGACTAGCGTTTTTGAGTTTCTGCGACGATCGGCCGAACCGTTTGTTTGTAAAACGCCGAAAAGTGAAAAATTTTTCGTCCACGTTTTAGCCCGTAATTCTGAATCGATTTTGAAAATTCAAAAACCGTTCGATAGACATCGGTTAGGAATCGTGCTGATTAGTTTTTTGATAAAAATCGTCCGGGCCGTTTTCTTGTAATAAAGTTAAAAAAGAAATCGATGATTTTTATGATTTTTTTGACGGTGGATACCATAGTCTTGTAGACAATACTAAAATATTACGGCCCTACGACAACTCGTTTAGTATTAAAAATTCGTCAAAACTTACAAAAATTAGTATCGTTTATTTGGCATCAAAATTAGACCTTTCATCGACGTTTGCTCAAGTACGCCTGAACCGATTTCAGAAATTTAAAAACCATTTGATGTGTCTCAATGCGGACTATCGCTTGTCAGTTTTGTGCGCCGAGCCGTTCTTTTGAAATTTGGAAAAAAGTGTTAAACTTTTTGTCCACATTTAGGCTCATACTACCGAATCAATTTTAAAAAATCAAAAACTATTCGAAAAATATTAGTTAAGAATGATACTGATTAGTTTTAGGTGAAAATCTACCCAGCCGTTTCCTTGTAATTAACTGTTGAAAAAAAAGGCGATTTTTATGGAACATTTTTTGGCGATATGTATCATGGCCTTAAAGAACTTACTGAAATATTACGGCCTTACGACTAGTAGTTTAATTCTAAAAATTCATCAAAGTTTTAAAAAATGAGTAGTTTTTTGACGTTTGTTAAAATTAAAATTAGACGATTTACTTGGTATAACGATAAAGTACTTTGTCTTAATGAGCATACTAAATCATTAAAGTAATACAGATACTGGTTAAATTATAACTAGTGGGGTGTATGGCATCGTGCCTTAAAGTAAATTGCTGGAACTTCCCGTACCGTAACGAAATGTTCAAGGAATATTAAATGTTTTCAAATAGACTATTATAAATAAATACTGTAACATTGTCCAATATTTATAAGAATTATATAAACTGAATTGCAAAGTTGAAATTATTTGTTTAAAGTATATTAGAAGTATAGTCAGAATTAAAAATAAAATCTGAAAAATTTTCGATATACAAAAAATTTTTCTTTTGAAAAAAAAAAAATTGAAAAATAAAGTTGAAACAAAATTGTTTTTTTCCAAAATCAATTATTTTGTTAAGACAAGCTAAAAGTTTATTGAATCATTTAAATCGGATGGTCAATTCTCCTAAAAACTGCCATTTTTTGCACATTTAGCTCTGTATCTTCGAAATGGCTGGGCCTGCCTCTGTCACCTCTTCTCCCAATCATTACAAATTCAATGGTTTTTAGATCATTCAAATAGGATGCTCCGTTCTCTCAAAAACTCGATTTCTATTTTCTGCACTCTTTGCTCTTTATCTTCGTAAATGCTGGACCTGCTTATGCCAAAAAAACTAATCAGCACATCTCCCTATAGAAAGGAATCGAATGTTTTTTGAACCATTCAAATCGGTTGATCCGTACGCCCGAAAACGAGGACGAAAATTTGTATCCATACATACATACACACACACACACACATCCATTTTTTGTGAGGTTAGCCAAAATGTTTAGAATTTCGTTCGTTTTCAAATATTTGTAATAAATCCACTCGAAATACTTTTTAACGACTCATAAATTAATTTATTTTTTATTGATTAAGTCGACACATATCGAAAATTCATGTAACTTGCCGCAAGGCAAAATACCAATACAAACTAGCTATACATGCTAGTTGTATATACTAATTATATACATGTATATAATTTAAAATATTGTATGCCTAAACAAATGATGCTTGTCATCCACTATTTTTCAAATTCAAAAATTGACTTTTTGTCGTCATTTATGACTGATCCAAATTCATTATTCAATTTCTTTCAAAATTCTACATCATGCCCTTGATGAACTGTTTTGAAATTCGTAAACCAGATTTGCACCAAATTGAGAAGGAAACTGTTAGTAAAGGAAAGCAAAGAACTGATGCTTTGGTCAGACAATGGAGACCCGCGCTACCTATTTTACCAAAACATAATTTTAAATCTACGGTTTACAATATAAAGAAACCTTTCTATCCATCATTTATGTTTGAAAAACCAGATATGTTCAAAATCATGACTGAAGAATATAGGTAAATTAAATTTAGTTGTAGAAGCTTACAAATATATAATAGTTCAATTTACTTGGACCCTAATATTAATATCTATGAAATATTATATATTTTTTTTACTTTTACTCGTATTACTTTATCAAGTAGACTCTTAGGCCTTTATTTTCATTTGCAAAACATTATCAAAATCACTACGATCGTACTTTGATCAACTCTCCATCTACACATCAGCCCAACTTTCATAAGACAGAGCTTTTAAATAAAAAATGATTTGATTTGTTCAGAATATTGATATCTAAATACAAAAGTGTTTTGTAGATTTATAAAACAAGTCAATAGATTAAAATTAAATATTTTTTAAATTATATAAACCAATAAACATTTTAGTAACTTGCAACTTTATCGCAATACTAGGTTTTTCTATACTACATTCCTTTTTCGAAATTGTTCAAACCTCACAGGACAATTACTTTTTTAAATCAGGATAATTTTTAAAATGTATTTTATATTGGCAATACTTGATGAAAATCTGACTTACAATTAAATTTTTAAATTCAATTTCCATTTTCTTACTTTTTTTACGAAGTTTCATGCAGCAATTATAGTATGATATGCATAATTATAATATATAAACTTATAAATAGAACACACAAAATGTGTTATTTTACATGCAATAAAATGGTTAATTTATTTATTACGCGTTAGTTAAAACCTTCTTTCAAAAAGTCGTTTATTAAACAAATGTCGGATATCGCAACATTGCCAATGAAGTCTTTTGTGATTATGACAATATATGTATTTGCTATTCAGTGAACTGTCAACAATAATAATATATTTACTTCAAATTATGTTAATACTATACTTTCATATAAATTATAAATTTACCAAAAGCATGTATTGTTTGTAAATTAATTACTTTCGTATTTGACAACTGCAGGCATATTTGTTATTTACCGATTTTAACAATTTTCAGACTTTACTGCATAGTATAATATCGTATTTTCGAACTTAGTCAGTTTTGAGATTAACGATTCAACGAATATTTTGCTCTTGCCGCTTGTTTAAAGTTTAAGAACTTTAGGACTAGTTGCATAAAAAAAATATTTACACTATTAGACATTTGTTGTCATAGTGTGATACCAATATATTTTGACTAAAGTATGTTTACTCGCAAGTAGCTTATAACACACATAGTTCCTCATTGCAACGTTTTAATAAAATTAAATAATTATATGAAAATTTTAGGCGCATGTGGCATTTAGAAAGCTTGAAATTCATAAGTGGCCTCGACAAACGTGAAGCTACTCGTTTGCCTCGTCGTCCTTATATAAAATACGGTCAGTTCCGAACATTCAAAAAAAGAAAATACAACTATCCACCCTCTAATTTCAAATCTACAAATGATGTAGAAATCCAAAACAATTCGAAAGCTTTACTCGAAATTGAAAGATTTGTCCGAGCAGAAGAGATTAAGAATAAAAAATCTTTGTTTCATGAAGAATGCCTGAGAAGTGGTGAATATAGACCTTTCAAGGCAAGACCAGTACCACTGTGTTTGAAGAATAAACGCAATAAAAAGAAACCAAATCAAGAATTTTGTCAGCAAATCAAACCAGATGATTTTGATTGCACCGTGATTTTTGATAAAGATGCTACGGGAAATGATGTTTGCAACATTCAATACAAAGATAAGGCCAGCCCGAATAACTACAGTTTTGATAGTACAGTTGTTGGATATCATAATGTGAATGGAAGTTTAGCCAATCACAGTAGAGCAGGTGCAGAAAATTATCAAACAAAAGATTACTGGTCTCCTCAAAACCAGCATATCTCACAAGACGGATCATCATCTTTGAATCATAGTATAGACCCAAGTGCTGTGAATTATTTGCCAATGGATAATTCGAGTTGGCATTACAATACTGTTTGTTATCCAGGTGATATGTGTTTTTCTGTTGATGATAAAAACACTTATATGAATCAAGTCTATAATAATCCAAACAAGTTTTTGAAAACAAATAATTATGAAGATTGTGTCTATGTGAAACAGCCAGCAGGAGTAGGAAAATCTAATAATGGTGCTACTGTAACTATAGAATATCCAAGTGCCTATAAATCGACGCCTTATCAGGAGGTAAATAACAATATTCACAGTAGCAAATATCCTTCGATAAATTATGAAGCAGTTGATAACAGACAAATGGGTCCCGGATATGGATATGCCGATTGTAATGGAGATTCCTCAAAAAAACCAAACAACATTGGTTATAATAAAGGAAACGATTTTGGGGATACACTTTTGATATACAATAATCCTGCATTTACTAGTAGCTCGCACATGAGCGACAAAGCACAAACGGGAACGGAATACTATACGGCACGAGGACGAGGCAATCCCTGTCATCATAATACTAATGAAAATTTAGCAATAGGACAAATGACGTCCAAAAATCAAGGTTCAAATTATTATAGACGAAATTATCCATATATCAATCCATGCATCACACAAATTGAGGCGGCGAAAAAAGAAGCAGCCGATTTGAAGAATGAACAAATTAAAAATTCCCTACTGACCCAAAATTCTGTAGGAAATTACCCTTTTAGTTATCACAGGGCAGATGAAAAAGAGTATGTGAGAAGTCCAGGAATAAAACGTAAGTTTTTTGAAAGCTTTACTTTCGTGATTTTAGCCTCTGCTTTCCAATGATTATTAAAATTGAATTTTCTTAATTTAAAACTTTAAAATGAGTAAAGGCTCGGAAGATCTCTCTCGTATCTTCACTTTTAATAATTGACATGGGACATGAACTATAAGCAAACGCATCGAGTTGCTAATGTCATTTTATATGTTATTATTTTACGTCAAGCGTTTTTATTTATTTCTGTATAATTATGTCTAATATTTATCAAATATAACATTTTAAGCAATCAATTTTCACTGCAGGTGACAAAAGTTTTCGTAAGAACGTAGCATCAAATAACGACAAATATTATGATCCATACTCAGCAGAAAATTTTCAATCGAGGAACTTTGACAATAACACCGTATGTTACCAAAACTTCACGAATGTATGCAACTATCCTGTTGCTACAAAAATCTCCAATTCACAAGGAATTACCAATCCGAATAATAGCAATGAAATTTACCATAATCAAAATTTCGATAATAGGAAAACTTTTGAGATGCCAAAACCATTGCCACCGGGGACAACCTTGAAAGAAGCTTGTGCGCAAAGCGAAAGGTACAATTCGCTATATTGAAAGGCATTCTTTTTGTAAAATCATTTCTTATTGAATTATTTTGAAAATTAGTATTTATTCATTCGAATGCAATTCAAATCGTGCTTTAGTTCAAACAATATTCACGGCTTTTAAATATTTTTTTCTGAAAATACAGTTTGTTTTTTATTTATATTGCACATACATTGTAAATTATTGTGTACGTTTTCTAACTGTTGTCATAAGTTGATTTCAAAAATATATAAGCAAAGTATTTTTTTGTGTAGTTAATTTATATTAGTTAAATTATATGTGAAACTATTACCGCATACATCATTATAAATTTAAACACTAGTAATGTATGTCACAAGACAGTGTGAATTTTAATTCCAAATTATAAATTAATATTGCATATAAATTTATTAATCAAATCTGATCAATTGTCTCGCCTTACCCATATAAATATGTTCAGAAAAAGCTCATGAAGTGATGTCCATAAGCCCGGGCACCTTGAATGGCTTTTTTTCTCTATAACTTCGAAATGCTAGGGCCTCCCTTTTTCTAAAAACATATTGTCAGCGTATCTCGAATATTTTTTAAGTATTTCATGCATTCATTCTGCCAAAGTTAGATTGAATCAAAACATTATATCATTTATACATACAACTAAGCAGACACCCAAACGCCTGCAATTATTTCTGAATTTACTCAAAACGACATGAAGGTGAAAGATTATTACACAAAAAGTGTTTATTTGGATATGATATGACAATTTTTTCATATAACTTCTATAAAAGCTTACATGTGGTAAGGGTAAATAGGACCAACTGAACCTGGCAAAGACGCAAGCAGTAATTAAATACTAAATAAAAGAGTACATTAAGTTAAAAAAACACAAGAGTTAAAGAATTAAAATAATAGTTATTCCAACTCTGATAATAAATATTTCTGCGAAGTTCACACGCGATTGAAGTAAAACTTATTTGCTACTGTACATGATGGCATTTAAGTAAAAATAAATACATCTCATAACAATTTTGAATAATGTTTATTAGTAACACTCGTGATGCACAAATTTATTAGTGTCAACCATTATACACATTTATATATTGATAAATTATAAATTATATATTTATAATAACATTAAAAATATGTTTAATATTTAAAAACAATAATGTAATTAAAGTCATACTTCAAATATGAAATGATCGGTTTGTCATTGTAATTAGCATTTAAAAATGAACTTTATAGAAATGAAGTAATTGCTACTTAATAAATTCTATAATATTCGTTCACACAGTGGATTATGTTAAATGACGCCTAAACAAATATTGATTTCGCAACTTCACTCATCATGTAATTGTGTTTGAAGAACTTCATGTAATTAAAATCAACATACATTCATTGACTGCTGGTATTTTTTTTTACTTTTTCGCTGGCGATATAATCTCATTCAATTTACGGCAGTTCAAAAAACAGCTGTAATATCTGTCTTGTCTAAAAATATTTTTCATTTTAATAACTACAAAGATTTATAGAAATTACGAATAGTATAGAAATAATTTCTAATCAATAAACTCACGTTCGGTTCACGGCACAAATGTTTAATGTGTTTTATTCTTTCAAGGAACAGAGTAAAATATTCTTCTGATTCAGGCATTTTTCATTAAATCAAGATTTGTACTACGATGTAACTTTAAAATGTTTATTTATCTATGCCGATTGTCTTGTTGATATCGGTACGCATACAACGTTGATGCTGGTACGCATACAACGACAGATCTCTATTCACATACACGACGACTAATCACAATCGACCCATATAGAAATGATTTCATCGAGAGCAACTCGGCCATAACGCGCTTCCGTTGCATTTGTAAAATAATATAACTATTATTCCGTAAAACCCCTTTAAAATTAAAGATTAAAGACATTGGATCTATTTGACTCCCGGTTATTTCTTTTATCACGCCTATAAAAAGGGACGGGTCGCCAATTTTAGTAAAATGGCAAAAACTAGTGGTGCATGGCATTTTTTATAAGGCAAATTGCTGAAACTTTCCGTACCATAATTTCAAATCTTTTGAAAACTTTGAGAAAAGAGATTTTTAAGAATTTTGAAATTTTTCGAAGAACTCGCGTCGCATCGCCGTTTTAGAGAAGAAAATCGAAGCGCATAAGCGCTACGGCCTAGTCGAGTGGTTAAACATAATTAAACAAGATATCTGATAATTTGATGTGCAGATATCTAATAATCATTTTGACCGACAAATGGCATTTTTTATTTTTTTTATTGTATTTTATTATAGCTGTTCATTTCGTCAATACAAGTAAAATGTTTTTTGAATCAATCAATTCGGCCGATCCACGTTCTCGAAAGCGGCGAAGAAAAATTGTATTGTAAATACAAAGAAGCACGCGCTTAGATATTTCGTCTCTAAAACAACTACGCACTGCGATTGCATTAAAAAAAGTTTCAATAAGTGTCCAAATACAAAAAAAACTAGTGGGGTGTGTGACATCGTGCCTTATAGCAAATTGCTGGAATTTCCCGTACCGTAACGAAATGTTCGAGGAATACTGAATATTTTCAAATAGATTTTCATAAATATTGTAACATTGCCTATTATTTATAAGAATTATATAAACTGAATTGCAAAATTGAAATTATTTGTTTGTAGTATATTAGAACTATAGTCATAATTAAAAATAAAATCTGAATTATTTTCGATATACAAAAAAAAAAAATTGAAACAATTTTTTTTCCAAAATCAATTATTTTGTTAAGACAAGCGGAAAGTTCTTTGAATCAATTAAATCGGACGCTTAGTTCTCTTAAAAACTGCCATTTTTTGCACATTTAGCTCTGTATCTCTGAAACCGCTGGACCCGCCTTTGCCAAAAACTAATCACCCCTTCTCCCCGTCATTACGAACTGAATGTTTTTTAGAAATTCAAATTCAAATCGGTTGATTCGTGCGCCCGAAAACGTGGGCGAAAAATTGTATCCATACATACATTCACACTCACACACACACATCCATTTCTTCTGAGATATGCCAAAATATTCAGAAACCTTCAAAACGTCGAGAAATGTAAAAATTTTTAATTTCGATTTTCGGCCCATTACAATATCTTACCCTACGGGAAGTTAATAA